GGAGTCTCTAAGCAGAGACCAGCAACATGCCGCTATCAACAAGTTCATACAAGGGTAACTTGCTGTCGAAAGACAGAAGATAGCCTTGCTACAACAGCAAGGCTCTCACCAGTCGATGGGCGGGCCGACGCACATGCGTTGACCCGAAACCGTGAAGTTTGATATCTCAAGGTATAAGGGAACCGATGAAGATTCGCCTTTTAAGATGGTTCGTCAACTTAGACGATGCCATCAGGGCCCGTCATATCGAAGATGACTTGGGCCTTAGGGATCTAGTTTCACGACCCAAACGTATTGAAGTCGCTGGAAAACTTGAAGTCTCGGCTTAAAGAGACGTTTGAGCCGCCAAGCGCTGAGTTCAGAGCACGCTCTGCACTCCTGAGTCTTAAAAAAGGTAAGCGTGACGTGCACGCTTCCGCACAATACCTCCGCTACCTTGCGAGTAGCGCCACTGAAAACCCTGTTAATGAGCACATGCTCATCAACGTGTTCATCTACGGACTTGTAGATGGGCCGGTGAAGACCTACATGTTCCGAGAGGACTTCCCTGCGCTGGGAAAGGTGATAGCGTATGCGGAACAAGAAGACTTCAGCCTGAGATAGTCTTAGGCTAACTCGTCAAACTATCGCCCGACGAGACGACAGGAAACAGGAGGTCCCGAACGAACGGAACTCTGTTACATCGAGAGCAAGAGCTCTCGCTCTCTGAGTCACAAGCGAACGGCAAGATGCCATCGCTGTCAGAAGATTGGGTACTATGCTCATGAGTGTAGTGTCCCAAGCACCGTATTGCGTCCAAAGACAGGACGTGTTGACCACCGTTGGCCGATGAATGGTCCGAGTCGTGGGTCCGGCCATGTTGCTAAGCCACAACAGCAAGTCGGACCGTCAAAAACGTACAGGGTCAGTAGGGGCGGAGCACCCTGATGATCCATCAACGTCAAGAGAATTTGCAGAATTCTTGACGAAGATTGCTCCCAACACACAGTCGCTGTGTTACTGCCCCTAGTGATGAGGAGCCCTCATCACTTTGAAGATCGAAGTGACAAGTGGAATGTCACTTTGCGCCCTAATTGATTGTGGGGCATCGAACAGTTTTATTCGACGCCAGTCGCTAGGGGATAGTAGGCCCAACTATGTTGAGCGAGAGTTCCCTCCAACGAGGATGACGGTGTGCCTTGCTACATGCTCATCCGTAACAGTGAACAAACGTGTAGAGGGAATCCACCACACGCTAGAAGGAAAGCAGTACTATGATGACTTCATCGTACTAGATTTGGATGACAAATTTGATGTAATCCTCGGTCTGCCATGGCTAGAAAATACCAGCCATGGGTTAGCTGGCAGCATCGATCCGTGAAGATGCCTGCCGTTCGCTCATCAGATGGCCATCTGATGAACGTCTTGGAGCGTCCAAAAGCGTGTGGATGTACTACGAGTGAGTGCAATGGTCTCACTTGTGGTACGGTCGCTAATAAGACTGCACAAGATCACAGTGTAGAAGGCCACTACACTGTGGAACCATCTTCCGGCACCTGTGTAGAGACACAGGCTGCGCCGAAGGTTCACCACTCGAAGAGATCGAGTGGATTGGAACACGGACACACCAAGAAGGGTGCATCCGAAAAGAGAGGTTAGTGTTGTTCAGGATGAACAACACATTGAAGCGAGATCGAATATCAAAGAGTCGATCGTAGAGAAAGCCCTATCGACTGAAAGAAAGTCGATCGAAGAGGACGTGACCGTGGTAGTGCACCCACAGTCAGTACACGTAATGGAAGAAAGTTCCAGCTTTCCCGAGAGAGTTACGTTGAGGGTGTGAATCCCCAACCACCTGCGGATGTGTTTTTCCAGGAAATCACCGAGACAGTGAATGAATTGGTGAATGACGGATCAAGTGTAGGCGCTTATAAACTTGATCTGGTTATGCCCCCGAAGTCAACTTCGGAGGTAATCAAGTTGCCAACGCTAGAATCTATTTTTTTGCGAGATCTGCGTAGTGAAAAGATCAAGCAGATCTGCGTACTCGTCACACGAGTACGTCACCGATATTCGGTCGGCACCAGTGTTTGCTGAGAACGGACGGGTTCTCAGTATCTCATCGATGGACGAGAGTGTCCTCGATGAGAAGACTAGGATTGAGCGATACACTTCTCAATCTTGGGAGTATTTGAAGACAAATCCTTTGTATAAGGATTTGGTTGAATTCAGGGATGTTTTCCCATGAATCCGTGCCATGCGAGCTGCCCAAGGATAAAGGCACTTGGCATGAGATCTAAATGAAACCCGGTTCGAAATACTGTGTCATGAAGCAGTGGCCACGGCCTCGTGAACAGTCACAGCAATCGACAAATTCTTTGCGGATCGTTTAGCGGATGGTCACGTGAAGGAATCAACATCCCCACACAGCTTTCCGACCTTCTGTGTGCTAAAGGCCACAGGAGGGTGGCGGATATTGCACTTGTTCAACAAATTGAATGCTGCAACGGTACCGGCTCAAACGCCGGTCACAAGCAAGGACTTGATCATAGATGGTATGGCAGAAAATACCATCTTTTCTTCCATGGATTTGATGGATGGATTCTATCAGATCCTCATGCGTGAACGGGACATCCCGTACACAGCAGTGAGCACCCCCAGTGGTATGCTCTTGTAGTGGCTAGTGATGTCACAGGGGCTAAGTAGCGCCCCTGTAACTTTCAACAGATGTGTTACAAATCTGTTGGGAACGGTGCGCAACTTCGCACCGAGTTACTTTGACGATGTCTTCGTCCACAGCCGGGCTATGGATGGAATGACGGACGTAGGGTTCCATAGAATCCAAGTCCGGAAGGTTCTTACACTAATGCGAGAGCATAAGATGTTCGCGAACCTCAAGAAGTGTGTATTCGCAGCGAACGAAAAATCTCTTCTTGGCTGCATCGTGGTTAAAAACGGCGTACACCCTGATCCGGAAAAGATCAAGATGATCAGGGACTGGCTTGTGCCAGTCGACGTCAAGGGACTTCGAAAGTTCCTTGGCTTATCGTTGTACGTGCACAAGTACTCGCGCAACTAAGCGAATTCAATTACGTCGTTTAGCTTCCATAGGTTATTTACCAGGTAGCCGAGATGACCGTACATATCTCTCGTATGCTAAAAAAAATGAGAGGTGGTCATGGATTGCTGAGTGTGAGTAGTCCTTTGAAGGCATCAAGAAAGGCTTGGTGCAATCGCCTGAGTTGGATATTGCAGACCAGGACAGATCATTCCATGTGGTTAGTGAAGCCAGCGATTTTTCAATCGGCTGCGCGTTAGTGCCGTACGACGCAGACGGCATTGAGCGCGTCGTCTGATATCAATCGCGTCAGCTGCAAGCAGGTGAGCGTAATTACCCAGTGCACGACAAGGAGCTCCTTGCCATGAGATTTGCACTGGCTAAGTTTCGGGTAAATCTCTTAGCCGATAGGACCTTCATCGTTTATACCGACCATACGTCGTTAAGCACGGCCGGAAGCAGTCCACACCTCTCGCAACGAATGGAGAGGTGGCTGTCTTTCTTTGCGGAGTACAACTTCTCCGTCGAGTATAATTCCGGAAGACTTGATGTCGTCGCTGATTCTCTTTCACGTCGGCCCGATTTTGAGCCGACTGCTCAACACAACAGAAAGGGTGATCCCACTGTTGCTGCACTATAAGTGAGTGTTCCTTCGTCGCATCTGCTCGACGACGTGCGGAAAGCACACACAGAAGATGAGTCTCTTCTGCGGTTGTTGGATTATGTAGCCAATCGATTCCCGTCAAGCTTTGTAAAGCTTGACGTCCCAAAACCGCTCTTCAACCGAACGGTTTTCGGTTCGTGATGGACTGCTGTACTATACAGTAGTCAACGGCAACACACTTCGTATCGTCGCTCCCGCTCATAACGATTTGCGATTTCGCATATTGTGTTAGTGTCACGATGTCCCAACAAGTGGGCATCGCGGTAGAGAAAAGACTTACCTCATGGTGAGTAGTGACTTCTACTGGCCTCGCCAGTACGAATTTGTGCACAAATAAATTCGCGCTTGCGAAGTTTGTCAGCAAGTGAAGCCTATACCTTCTCCCGCGCACCCTTGCCGCCCCTACCGATTCCGGCAGAGTGTTGGCAGTCCGTTTCGATGGAATTCGTCTTCGGGTTTCCCAAAACCGTTCACAGGAATACTGTTATTCTTGTATTTGTTGATCGATTCAGCAAGATGGTACATCGTGTTGCTGTACCGGAGTCAATCACAGCCCAGGGCTGTGCTCGTGTCTAACCGATACTATTTCCCGACTTAATGGGTTGCCCGTGAACTCGTGTGTGATAGGGACTCCCGCTCCACAGCGGAGTTCTGGCAATACGTGCTCCGTTCCCTTGCAACACGTTTAAAAGATGTCGATTTCTGACCATCTCTTTCAGGATGGTCAGAAGAACGCGTCAACCGCGTCCTCGAAGAGATACTTCGAGGGTATGTCCACTCGGTTACGAGATGAAGTGAGTTCTTGCCGATGGCGGAATTTGCCATCAGCAACTCAGTGCATGCGTCGAAAACGCATACACCGTTCTTCGTGAATGGCCTACGCCATCCACGTTTACCCGCCTTCTTAGAGTGTGACTCTAGTTTAAGGGGGGCGGTGACTCGCTCGAGCAAAAACCGATCTGGTTCATGCTTTTCAGACATTGACAAAGGTGTCGACGTGATGGATGCCGATGTCGATGCGATCGACATCGATGATGATAATGACGACGATGCTGGTACATTTAGCATCAAAGATGCAATAGACGGACAGAACAGAACGCAGAAAACATGGAAGAGCAAACGTTCTTTCATTCAACGAAAGAGATTTAGTTTTACTGTCTACAGTAAATCTACCGAAACACGCAGTTACAAACATGGGCAGCAGTAAAATACTGCCCAAGTATATCGGTCCATTTCGTGTATTGCACCGTACGGGCAACGCACACACGACCAAACTGCCCCGTAAGATGCATACGAACCCTACGTTTTACGTCGGGCGTCTCCGCCTGTACTATCAGTACGAGCCCGTTTTGAGAGGCGAAGAACACCTCCGCGGTCGAGAGCCAAGACCACCTTCGAGTGGTCCCGTTTCAACGATCCAGTCTGGTCGACTAGCGAAGCGACCTGTTCACGCAGTTCAGCGATATCTCGACGAGCTACAGCCAGCTCATCACGAAGAGAACAAGTTGAGCGTTTGTTCTCAAGTTGCGCAAGCGCAAAAGCGGCACGGTCTTCAACAATCGTTCGTCAGGGAATTATACTTATACCTTACAAGATCCTCAAGCCCATCACGCCGAGTTCGTTCATGAGCCAGGTCATCTTGCAGCTCTTCCGTTACACGATTCAGCTCCTGAATATCAAGTTGATCCGACCCTCGAGCCGGATCAGGTGTTCCCACCGCCACCACATCCTTTAGTGGACTCAAGCGGTGGTCAAGGCTTTCTAGTGTAGCGTATTTTGAACCACCGCGACGTGAATGGCGTCCGGACGAGTTACCTCGTCCGCTGGCATGGCTATCCACCGGCGTGGGACAGCTGGGAGCCTCGTGCCCAGCTGATTGTTGATGTCCTTGGTCTCGTCGAGCAGAACGACGAGACCCACCCGATGCGTTTGAAGAAGGGCCGTCGGAAAACGACCTCCCCGAACGCGAGTACAGGGATTGCAAGGTGTCAATACCTTCGGCCATCTCGGAAGAGATGCGCGCTCTCCAGTAGGGATCATTAGGAAGGTAGGCCTCCCTAGGGGCACAATTTGAGTTGTCCAGGCAATCTGGACGCGAATCACCCCACGAGAGACAGAGTAATCTTGCCTCTCTTGACAGTCGGTGCAACTTGTATCGCACCCCGGCTGGGTTACGCTTTTCAAACCTGATGCGAGCTGCATCATGTTTACCGAGCCAGGCCTCACGGCCAATGCACTTGATGTTATAGATGAGTGCATTCCATCCCTGCACCAAGGCTTTACCGTCTCGAACACGGCTGCCATTGTACCACCGATGATTGAAAAACGCTACGGTGAAGAACTCTTTTTCAGCACGGATAGTTTCCGTGCTGGAGTTAGGAGGGCAGATCTTCCTACAATCGAAAAACGGGATTCGTTCCCGTTCGGTAGTCATGCCGACCAACCGGTCCAACTCTCTGGATGACGGCATCCACGGAGACTCCACTTATGGAGCGTGACGCAGGACATTTCGGTCCCTGGCCTCTTGATTGGTACCAGCAGGAGCACTGGCACGAGTGTTACCCCGATCCCTCGAGTTACTTCGCTCGCGGTGATGTATGGGTGCATCACCACCATCCCCACGCGTCCTATTGCTCGATGGACTTGCGTGAGGCGTATATTCGTCGGAGTAATTGCTCGATCCGAAGATCTCGGACATGATACCGACACGTTGACCAAGGCCAGTCAACCTGGCTCTTGCAGTGTCCGCCCCGGGTGATCCGGAGGCGTGAGGTGTCGCCTTCAAGTCATAAACATCATCCGACTCACCAGAATAGATGAGCTCTATTTCAGACTCATCTTGATTACGACTCGTGGTACCCGCTGCAGACGCAGCGGATATACCTGTCGCACGTGGTGACTCAACACATAGACAACAACAGGCGACGAATCACCTGCTGCTGAGGTGTGAGAGGTATATTCCCCGGCTGTACGCATGCGTGCAGCCGCCCTTCTTGCTGCTGCAGTAGCAACTCGCTTGGTTTTCGAAACCATGCGTTGGATTGGCAAATGGGTGGAATTTGACCAACAAGTGCTCCCTTTCCCAGAGTGATCCAACAGTGGTCACCCTGTCCCAATCAGTTCTATTCAATCAACGGGTGATTGATGGTTAAGGGAGGTTATGTAACGGGGTAGCCCGTTACATGATATTGACTAAACGGTATCAATAAAGGTATTGTCTAGCATAACAATATCCTACCAAGATTATCCGAAATAGATAATATTGAAGGAATATCGTCCCCTCTAGATTATATTCATGCGCTGCTCTAAGATTGGTTGATGTAAGACATATCAACCATAGATTGCCACCAATCGCTGCTAGACGCGCGCAATGAGTGGTGAGCAGGTTGTTGGTATACGACGACGTGGTGTAATATAGCAAGATAAAGATTACCTATATTGATAGCTTAAAAATATTAAGTACAGTTCTCTTTTTACCTCTACTTGACCGAGTCGTTTAAGTAGATTAGCTTCCTCTACACTTACTAGGGTACGTAAAGTTTCGTGGCACCCAGACAAAAGGTGTCCTGTGGCACTGGCCATCATCTTCTATACTGAAGCACTGTACGATTCAAATGATCTCAAGTTTAAATCCAGCGAGTATACGTGCTTCTTCCCCATCTCAAGGAAAGCAAGGAGTCAATCAGTTTTAAAGAGCCTTTAAGATCGTAAACGCTCACCTAGCAACGGCGGCTTAGCTCCCGGTCCATCGTTGAATACCGCTTCATGCTCCTTTAGATCATTATGCTGCAGGCCTTTATATTCATAGCAGCTGTGCTTGACTCCAACTATGAGCAGAAGGGTCAACTTCGGAATATACAAAAGCAACGTCTGTGGCAAAAAGCTACAAGATCGGTGGCTTCTCTTCACAAGATAAAATTGCGAAGCGACACACGTAGTAACAAACGAGAGGTATGACATCAGCGTTCATTATGATAGCGTGCAAGTCTCACATAAGTAAACATGTTATCCTTTGGCTATTCCGACCCTAAAACATCTATATTTCTGCATGGAAGATATAGCCGCTTCGAGTTGCGCCAACAAAAGGATCAGCAGTTTTGTCGTCGCTCGATAGAAGGCCACGAGAGATTGAAACGGGGCGACACACGCCAGAAAATACTCCATTTAATTGGTTCCTGATGGCACCATCGTCAGTCAACTCGAAGTCCAGGTAAGATGAGTACGCTGAGGTGGACGAGCTCGCGCAACCGATCTCTACGCACGCCTAATCGATACTTCCTGAAGCTAGAGCTCAAAGATTGCATATCCTCGGACTAATAACTCGTGGTCTTTGGATATTACGGAAAGACATTGAAGTCTTAAACTACGACAAAATTTAGTCTTGCTAGAATACAGACCTTCAATTCAGCAGATCGAGGCTCAGATATACTCCTTTGCAATCTGAAGATGACACCATATATGCATCGACAAGCTAAGATAGGCTACGTAGCTGGGAAATGACTATCTAATTGACCGCAACGTACTTTGACATTGGTACAGCGCTACACGTTCGATGCATGCAACGGGACACCCTTAGTCTGGGTGCCACGAAACTTTACGTACCCTAGTAAGTGTAGAGGAAGCTAATCTACTTAAACGACTCGGTCAAGTAGAGGTAAAAAGAGAACTGTACTTAATATTTTTAAGCTATCAATATAGGTAATCTTTATCTTGCTGTATTACACCACGTCGTCGTATACCAACAACCTGCTCACCACTCATTGCGCGCGTCTAGCAGCGATTGGTGGCAATCTATGGTTGATATGTCTTATATCAACCAATCTTAGAGCAGCGCATGAATATAATCTAGAGGGGACGATATTCCTTCAATATTATCTATTTCGGATAATCTTGGTAGTATAATGTTATGCTAGACAATACCTTTATTGACACCGTTTAGTCAATATCATGTAACGGGCTACCCCGTTACATAACCTCCCTTAACCATCAATCACCCGTTGATTGAATAGAACTGATTGGGACAGGGTGACCACTGTTGGATCACTCTGGGAAAGGGAGCACTTGTTGGTCAAATTCCACCCATTTGCCAATCCAACGCATGGTTTCGAAAACCAAGCGAGTTGCTACTGCAGCAGCAAGAAGGGCGGCTGCACGCATGCGTACAGCCGGGGAATATACCTCTCACACCTCAGCAGCAGGTGATTCGTCGCCTGTTGTTGTCTATGTGTTGAGTCACCACGTGCGACAGGTATATCCGCTGCGTCTGCAGCGGGTACCACGAGTCGTAATCAAGATGAGTCTGAAATAGAGCTCATCTATTCTGGTGAGTCGGATGATGTTTATGACTTGAAGGCGACACCTCACGCCTCCGGATCACCCGGGGCGGACACTGCAAGAGCCAGGTTGACTGGCCTTGTTCAACGTGTCGGTATCATGTCCGAGATCTTCGGATCGAGCAATTACTCCGACGAATATACGCCTCACGCAAGTCCATCGAGCAATAGGACGCGTGGGGATGGTGGTGATGCACCCATACATCACCGCGAGCGAAGTAACTCGAGGGATCGGGGTAACACTCGTGCCAGTGCTCCTGCTGGTACCAATCAAGAGGCCAGGGACCGAAATGTCCTGCGTCACGCTCCATAAGTGGAGTCTCCGTGGATGCCGTCATCCAGAGAGTTGGACCGGTTGGTCGGCATGACTACCGAACGGGAACGAATCCCGTTTTTCGATTGTAGGAAGATCTGCCCTCCTAACTCCAGCACGGAAACTATCCGTGCTGAAAAAGAGTTCTTCACCGTAGCGTTTTTCAATCATCGGTGGTACAATGGCAGCCGTGTTCGAGACGGTAAAGCCTTGGTGCAGGGATGGAATGCACTCATCTATAACATCAAGTGCATTGGCCGTGAGGCCTGGCTCGGTAAACATGATGCAGCTCGCATCAGGTTTGAAAAGCGTAACCCAGCCGGGGTGCGATACAAGTTGCACCGACTGTCAAGAGAGGCAAGATTACTCTGTCTCTCGTGGGGTGATTCGCGTCCAGATTGCCTGGACAACTCAAATTGTGCCCCTAGGGAGGCCTACCTTCCTAATGATCCCTACTGGAGAGCGCGCATCTCTTCCGAGATGGCCGAAGGTATTGACACCTTGCAATCCCTGTACTCGCGTTCGGGGAGGTCGTTTTCCGACGGCCCTTCTTCAAACGCATCGGGTGGGTCTCGTCGTTCTGCTCGACGAGACCAAGGACATCAACAATCAGCTGGGCACGAGGCTCCCAGCTGTCCCACGCCGGTGGATAGCCATGCCAGCGGACGAGGTAACTCGTCCGGACGCCATTCACGTCGCGGTGGTTCAAAATACGCTACACTAGAAAGCCTTGACCACCGCTTGAGTCCACTAAAGGATGTGGTGGCGGTGGGGAACACCTGATCCGGCTCGAGGGTCGGATCAACTTGATATTCAGGAGCTGAATCGTGTAACGGAAGAGCTGCAAGATGACCTGGCTCATGAACGAACTCGGCGTGATGGGCTTGAGGATCTTGTAAGGTATAAGTATAATTCCCTGACGAACGATTGTTGAAGACCGTGCCGCTTTTGCGCTTGCGCAACTTGAGAACAAACGCTCAACTTGTTCTCTTCGTGATGAGCTGGCTGTAGCTCGTCGAGACATCGCTGAACTGCGTGAACAGGTCGCTTCGCTAGTCGACCAGACTGGATCGTTGAAACGGGACCACTCGAAGGTGGTCTTGGCTCTCGACCGCGGAGGTGTTCTTCGCCTCTCAAAACGGGCTCGTACTGATAGTACAGGCGGAGACGCCCAACGTAAAACGTAGGGTTCGTATGCATCTTACGGGGCAGTTTGGTCGTGTATGCGTTGCCCATACGGTGCAATACACGAAATGGACCGATATACTTGGGCAGTATTTTACTGCTGCCCACGTTTGTAACTGCGTGTTTCGGTAGATTTACTGTAGACAGTAAAACTAAATCTCTTTCGTTGAATGAAAGAACGTTTGCTCTTCCATGTTTTCTGCGTTCTGTTCTGTCCGTCTCTTACATCTACGATAGAGTCTTGAACGAAGTGGACAACCGCTTTGCGAGTAAACAGAAATTTCACTGCTGATTCACCCTTGTCAACAGAAGTGCGCTTCGTGTGCAATGATAAAAGAACGTTAACTTCAAAAGTAAGGGATTCATCGTCCTCACTGTGGCAGTCGTTGGTGATGCTAAATGTACCAGCATCGTCGTCATTATCATCATCGATGTCGATCGCATCGACATCGGCATCCATCACGTCGACACCTTTGTAAATGTCTGAAAAGCATGAACCAGATCGGTTTTTGCTCGAGCGAGTCACCGCCCCCCTTAAACTAGAGTCACACTCTAAGAAGGCGGGTAAACGTGGATGGCGTAGGCCATTCACGAAGAACGGTGTATGCGTTTTCGACGCATGCACTGAGTTGCTGATGG